TTTCACCAAAGGAAACATGCAAATGAAAAGATGCTCGACATAATCATTAGGAAAATACAAGTCAAAACCACATGATACTAACTCACACCCACTATTATAGCTACTGTAAGCATTATGCCCACCTTTGGTCCTCAGCTCCTCCCAGCCCTGGAGTTCTGGCCATACAGCTGGCCCTTCCCTCTCTCTGCCCAGACCCACCTGAGCTCCCACCTACCTCACTTCCTGCCCCAGACCTTCCTGCTACCTGGATAGGAAAGGGTGCCGTGTGCTGGGGGGGGGGGGGGGGGGGAGGGGGGGGAGGGGGAGGGATGTGAGGGGGAATATGGCTCCACTAGTAAACCTTGTAATAATCTTTATCCTGTGCCTGTCTGCCTCTGCGTGGTCCCCTGGGATGGATGTGATAGATCCTTTCAGCTACCTACTATCAAAACAACGGAAAATTAACGTGTTCTCGGGGAGAAATCAATCTACCTGTGCACACTGCTGGTGGGAATGAAAATGTAAGAAAGGACTCTCAAATCTTCCTCAAAAATGAAATGAAGCTGGCGCTGGTGGCTCACGTCTGTAATCCTAGGTACTAAGGAGGCTGAGATCTGAGAATCGCATTTAGAAGCCAGCCTGGCCAGGCAAGTCCTTAAGACTTTTATCTCCAAGTAACTACCAAAAAAAAACTGGAACTTGAGCTGTGGCTCAAGTGGTACAGGGGTAGCCTCGAGCAAAAGCAGCTCAGGGGCAGCCCCAGGGCTGGCATTGAAAATAATGGCCAGCTGCACGTCTACAGGGGTGGCGACAGCATCATCACAACGGCTGAAGCACCCCCCCAGGGTGGCAGGTGAAGATAGATGCACACGGTGGAACGGTGGCGGGACGGTCCTCGCCAACTAACACATTTGATCAGAAAAACAAAATACGGGCGGGGGGGGGGGGGTCGTCTCCCGTTACTGGGCTGCTGAGGGCGACAAGGAGCGCGCCCACAGGCGCTGCGGGGCGGCAGTGCGTGGCTCTACAGCGCATGGGCAGCGGCCTGCGTGTCCGCCGGACAGGAGCACCCGGGGGCGGGGCCTCGGGCGCGGGGCGCTCGACGCACTGTGGAGGCGCCGGTGACGCGCCGGTGACGCGCCGGTGACGGCGGCGCGCTGGCGTAGCAGGTACGTGCTGGCCGGCGCCCCGGCCGGGCGGGCTCGGCTGGGGGCGGGCGCGGGCTCCGCGGCCCCATGCTGCTGCCGCTGGCCTGCCTGCACGGGCGGGTGGCGCAGTGCCTCACCTCGTTGCTGGTGCTCGCAGAGCCGCTGCCCAGGCCGCGGCGCGGCGCGCGGGAGCCCGGCGCGGCCAGGGCCAAGGCCGCCCCCGCCGCCCCGCCCGCGAAGATGGCCGCCGAGCTGTACCCCACCCCCGGCGCCGCGGCCGCCACCGACATCGCCAACAGCAACGCGGCGGCGGGCAGGAAGGCCGGCCCCCGCAGCCCGCCCCGCCCGGCGCCCGCGCCGCCGCCGTCCCCGCCCGCGCCGCCCGCCCCCGACAACAACAACCCGGAGAGTCCGCACTGGCAGTCCTTCCACCCGACCCTGCGCGAGAGGTGAGCCGCGACCGCCCGCCGGGCCCCGGCCCCGGCCCGATCCCGGCCCGACCCCGGCCCCGGCCCCGACCCTGATCCCGGCCCCGACCCCGACCCCGGCCCCGACCCCATCCCCGGCCCCGACCCCGACCCCGGCCTGACCCCGGCCCCGCCCTGGCCCGACCCCGGCCCCGCCCTGGCCCCAGTCCAGCCGTGTGCCTCTGCCTTTGCAGGAACGCGCTGATGTTCAACAACGAGCTCATGGCCGACGTGCACTTCGTCGTGGGGCCCCTGGGAGCCTCCAGGCGCGTGCCCGCCCACAAGGTGGGTAGGGGCGCGGCCCTGGTCCTGGCCGGCGCGGCTGGACGCAGTCTTCCCGGGCCTTCGTGGCTGCCCACTGGCTAACGGCGACTCTCTCTCACCCGCAGTACGTCTTGGCCGTGGGCAGCTCTGTCTTCTATGCCATGTTCTACGGGGACCTCGCGGAAGTCAAGTCGGAAATTCACATTCCCGACGTGGAGCCTGCTGCCTTCTTGGTCTTGTTAAAGTAAGTGCTCTGCTCCAGGGCTGAAAGGATGGATGGGGTGGTTCCTTTCTGATGGTCCCGGGGAGGCCTCTGCAGACCCGAGCCCAAAGGGTCCTCCCCCGGCAGCCCCCCGAGTTCATGCCTTGCTCAGGTACCTGTACAGCGACGAGATCGACCTGGAGGCAGACACAGTGCTGGCCACGCTGTATGCTGCTAAGAAGTACATTGTGCCCGCGCTGGCCAAAGCCTGTGTCAACTTTCTGGAGACAAGTCTGGAAGCCAAAAATGCCTGCGTCCTGCTGTCCCAGAGCCGGCTATTTGAGGAGCCTGAGCTGACCCAGCGCTGTTGGGAGGTCATCGATGCCCAGGCAGAGATGGCTCTGCGCTCTGAAGGCTTCTGTGAAATTGACCGGCAGACACTGGAGATCATTGTGACCAGGGAGGCCCTCAACACCAAGGAGGCAGTGGTCTTTGAGGCTGTCCTGAACTGGGCGGAGGCGGAATGCAAGAGGCAGGGCCTGCCAGTCACCCCACACAACAAGAGGCACGTCCTGGGGCGAGCTCTCTATCTTGTCCGAATTCCAACCATGACCCTGGAGGAGTTTGCCAATGGTGCTGCACAATCAGATATCTTGACCTTGGAGGAGACCCATAACATCTTCCTGTGGTACACAGCAGCCAACAAGCCTCTCCTTGACTTCCCTCTGACCAAGAGGAAGGGCCTGGCCCCACAGAGGTGCCACCGGTTCCAGTCTTCTGCCTATCGCAGCAACCAGTGGCGGTATCGTGGGCGCTGTGACAGCATCCAGTTTGCAGTGGACAGAAGGGTGTTTATTGCTGGTCTGGGCCTGTATGGGTCCAGCTCCGGGAAAGCCGAGTACAGTGTGAAGATAGAACTCAAGCGGCTGGGAATGGTCCTGGCACAGAACCTGACCAAGTTTGTATCAGACGGATCCAGCAACACCTTTACAGTCTGGTTTGAGCACCCGGTCCAGGTAGAGCAGGACACCTTCTACACTGCCAGTGCTGTCCTGGATGGCAGTGAGCTCAGCTACTTTGGGCAGGAGGGGATGACAGAAGTACAGTGTGGGAAGGTGGCTTTCCAGTTCCAGTGCTCCTCAGACAGCACCAATGGGACTGGGGTCCAGGGTGGGCAAATCCCAGAGCTCATCTTCTATGCATGAAGCCGTGAGAGGGCTTACCACCTGCCCTTCCTTGTAGGAGGCCTCCTGGCAAGTGTGTGGGAGGTGCAGGACACTGCTGACTGCCTTACTGACACTGGTAATGCTTCTCCCAGCAGCCAGGGCCCAATGTCCCCGATGGCTGAGTCCTAGGTGTTTCCTGTACACTAAGGTACATGCCTCAAGAAAGTGGGCAGGTATGAGGCAGGCCCCAGACACCTGCCCAGTGGCATTCAACAACTTTGAGGGTACATGGACATTTCTCCTACCCTTCTGGATTCTAAGTGGCTATAGGCTTACCTTGAGACTTTTCCTTCAAACCCCAAGTTGCTGAAAAGTCACTTAAAATACTTTTATCTATTTAAGTGGATTTTTATAATAAAGGTTTAACAAAACCATGTGTAGGTAAAGTGAGTAAGAGTTATAAATTGGGGTGTTCTCTTTCTCAGCTGAGAAGAGCTGCCATGGAAAAAGCCATAATTGCTGAACAGTGCTGCGTGGTCAGAAACACATCATCAAGGGAGCTATTCTGTCCCTGAGACTCCTGTATGGTATCCAGGTTGGCTTTCTCTCCAGGGCTACAGCTAAGGACACTGTGGAAGGCCAGGTATATAGCCATTCCAGAGCATCAAAGTCTTAGCCGGGCGCTGGTAGCTCATGCTTGTAATCCTAGCTACTCAGGAGGCTGAGAACTGAGGATCGCCTTTCAAAGCCAGCCCAAGCAGGAATATCCGTGAGATTCTTATCTCCAATAAACCACTAGAAAACCGGAAGTGGTGCTGTGGTTCAAGTGGTAGAGCACTCGCCTTGAGCTGAAGAGTGCAGGGACAGCGTCCAAGCCCAGAGTTCAAGCCCCATGACCGACGAAAAAACAAAACAGTCCTATTGCAGAAGACATATTCAAGAGGCCAGCTGTGCTTCACTGTGGGTAAAGCAGCTCCCCAGCCCTGGTCTTTATTCTCCATGGCTGTGTACACCCAGGTACTTGCTTTGTCCTGGAAATCCTCAGCTTGACTACCAAGGATAGGAATGGCCCCACCAGCAGTGACCTGGCCTCCAGGGACATGCTGTAGGCCCCAGCCTAGTGTGCTTGTGTGGCTGCTGCCAAGCACCAGGATCTCAGCCCTCCACCCCAGCCCCTGGTAGTGCTTTGTTACCACAGAGAGACACTGATGGGTCAGGAGCAAGAAAAAGGCCACCTCCCCTCTTGATAACAAAACTCATAGTAGCTGGGAGAGTGCCTGCCTCCAAGAGCTGCGCTCATCCCTGTGAGGAGGCTGTGCCTGCCTCAAGGCACCTGCAGGCCAAGCATGATCAAAGCCTGTAAAGATAAGACAGGCTTCCCCAAAAAGAAATGTACTCATTACCTTTCTTATGAAATGGTAACCGCTCTGTGCAACACCTTAGCAATAAAAATAAAATTATATTAACAAATAAGGCAGGCTCCCAACATGTGGTACTATACCCTTTTCCCTCTGTCTACGCTCTGGTGCACACTCAGGCTCTGGCAGCAGGTCTAGGTTTGCTCCAAAACTAAAACCCTACCCTGCTGTACCATCAGCAGATTTTAGGAGTTTTTCTTGCCTTGGGGTCCTACATGTTTTATTCCCCCAACTCTGGAGCACCTTGGCAGGCTAGTTTGCAGGTGTTCCTGCCTAAGTGCAGCCTACCGATAGCTGGCGCGGTGTTGCAGAGCTCCCCAGGGCCGAGTGGCACCTGTAAAGCCTGCCAAGCTTACCTATGGCTGGCGCGTTGATGCAGAGCTCCCTCGCCAAAAGCAGAAACGTCTTTCCCAGCACATACACGTTTACCTGGAAAATAGCCAGAAATGCATTGGTGTTAAAAGAATGCGTGTGCACGTGCACAGCCTGCATGTATGTGCTGTTTCTGGGCTCAAGCCAACACTCCACCACTTGAGCCACACCTCCACTAGTAGCTTTTTGGTGGTTAATTGGAGATAAAATCTCATGGACTTTCTTTTCTAGGCTAGCTTCAAACTGTGATCCTCAGATTTCAGCCTCCTTAGTAGCTAAAATTAACTGACCTGACCTACCAGTGCCCAGCTCTTTTTTAATCTTTTCCTTTTTTCTGGTCAGTCATAGGGCTTGAACTCAGGGCCTTGGGTGCTGCCCCTGAGCTTTTTTCTGCTCAAAGCTAGCACTGTTACCACAGCTTGACTTCTGGTTTTCTGGGAATTGGAGATAAGATTGTCACAAACTTTCCTGCCTAAGCTGGCTTTGAACCACAATCTTCAGATTTCAGCCTCCTGAGTAACTAGGATTACAGGTGTGAGGCCACCTGACTATCTTTCTTTCTTGTCGATCGTAGCACTTGAACTCTGGGTCTGGGTGCTGTCCCTCAGCTCTTCAGCTCAAGATGAGCACTCTACCGCTTGAGCTACAGCACCACTTCCGGTTTTCTAGTGGTTTATTGGAGATAAGAGTCTCACACACTTTCCTGCCCAGGCTGGCTTTGAACCATGATCCTTAGGTGTCAGCCTCTTGAGTAGCTAGGATTACAGGTGTGAGCCACTGGCACCCGGCCTGGCTATCTTTTTCTTAAAGTGCCTCTTTTTCTGCTCAGACTTCAAAGAATCCAATGTCAGAGCTCCCTGCTGGCCCACAGAGTACCCAATCTCTCAGAATTAGGTGGTCTCTACTGGCCTGCAGATCAGAAGTGTCTATTTCCTTACTAAGCAGCTATTTAGGCTCCTCTCCAAATTACATTTGCTGTGGGGGGGGGGGGGGGAAGGAAAACAAAATACCTGTAGGGTGTGGTCAGGGTGCCCACTGTACTTGATTCAGAATCAGTATGACCTGCTTGCCATCCTCAGGTCAGCCACACTTTAACCCTGTACTCCCAGGGGTGCACAGATCTCAGCTTCCACCTTGTTGCTGGGGGGTTCCTCCACTGCTCCCTCCTCAGGGTGCCTGCCATGGCTCCCTCCTTGCCCTCGTGGGAACATGGTCGCATGGGTCACATATCAGGAAAGCAAGGACCTAGCCTGTGTGTAGAACCCCAGGCGCTCAGGGCAGCCCTGTAATGGACCATAGTATCAGCCCCAAGGAACCCAGCACTGGCCTGAGGTGTGGGCAGGTGGGGAGGGGGATGCTTCTGGGTGGGACCAGGCAGGTTCAGAGCAGGCCACACAGTGTGGAAGATATAAAGGGCCAATAAAGCCCAGGTTCCCTAACCCATCCAAGTCTCTCTTGCTCTTAGCTCCCTGAGGACCCAATTGCTACTCTGGCCCAGGCTTACCCGAGACTCCAGGACTCACCATTTAATCAGTCTGGCCTTGCAATACAGCTTTTCCAAAGAATTCCTTACCTAATTAATCCTGGCCTATGGGCCCCTAGGCAAAGCCCCTTTTCCTGACATGAAGGTAGCACCCATGGGTGCTTGCAGACTTCAAGGAGCAGGGAGCCTAAGGAATGACACACTGTGAAGTTCACATCAGAGGCAGGAACTAGAGAGAGGGTTTGGGACACGTCAGCAAGGAGTCAGCCTGCGGGGAGGGCTGGGGCTGGATCCGACATCCAAGCAGCCTAGGCGGTGGTTTACGGGTTACCTCCTGCCTCTGGCTGAGGTTCTCCCAAGGCTCCATCGTAAGCACTGATAGCTCACAGTGCACCTTCTAAACCAGTGCTACCTTCTACAAGTCCCTAGATCATCCTCCAAGCTGTATGAATGGACTGAATCCATGTGTGGTGTGTGAGCACGCACGTGGGTAGTGTGTATAAATGTCTAATGTGTACAGTGTTAGTGACATTGGTGTGCAACAGGAGCACACCAGAGGCAGGAGCTGGAGGGAGAGCTTAGAACATGATAGCAGTGAGTCTGACATGTGCCCTTTCCAGAAGCATTCTGGCCCTTGTGCTAGATCTGTGCAAGCCTCTGTTTAGGCCACGTCATTCTGATACTGGGACACCCAGCTCCCACTGAAGAGCTGGCCCTAACCTCGGTCTGCCCACTTCCCTCACACTCCTTACCATCTTAACCCTGGGTCCAGAGGGACACGGGTGGATGAAGAGACATGAGTGCTGGCCCTAGTGGTACCAGTCTTTCCTAGGAAGTCACTGGGCTGGAAACCAGGTCATATGGCCTTGCCCTGAGCTGAGTACAATGCGTCTGAGAGGCAGTCACTAAATTATCACAATTCCAACAAGTTATTTTTAGTCTGACCACAAAATATTTCACCAATAGCTGCTTAGAGATGCCATATATAAAGACAGCTGGAAAGACAAAAATACAAGGTACCATCTGAGTCAAGTCAGTCTAACTGTTGACCATTCCTGGAAAGCACTGAGCTCAATCATCAAAAGTGGTAGCCTGGCCTACAGCTCTCGGGGTCCCTGAGGGCACCCCGATCTACATGGGAGATTTGTCTTTGGCATGAAATCCATGGTATCTTCATGCTGCTATTACCTTCCTTTTCCATGACATATCTCTTTCCTAGTTCTCAGCAGATGATTAAATAGACCTCCAGCCTTGCTATAACCCAGGGAATGGTCTGAGGACTTGAGTCAACCTACAGCTAGCCCCACAGTCTCAGTCCACAAGCTCCCCGGACACCAGTTCCCCACAATGTTTAGTTGTCTGAAAAAGAGCAAGGCAACAGAAAGGGCTTTCTCAGTACTAGGAAAGCAGGTGACTCCACAGTTCAAAATGCATGCATAGGGGCCAATTTTCCTTACTTTGTAAAGACTCTCCCTTGCCTAGCACCAAAATTCACATGCATTTCCCAAATGATTCTAATGATGGACTGTATGGGTCCTGGATGGAACTATGACAGTGAACTTCTCCCACCCGACAAGCCTGAACTTCTCCCAGTGAACAGCTGCCTTCTCCCACCCGACAAGCCTGGGCCCTCCCTGCACTGCCTGTCTACCCTGCAGAGGAGGCTTTCTACCACACAGGCAGCACAGATAGGCCCCAGGTGTGTGGAGACAGGCTAGGCCCCAGTCACCCCTGCAGGTAGGGAAAGGCATAGAAACAAAAAGATATACCTGGAGCAGGTCACTGAGGTCGAGGAGCATGTCTGCAGCTGGAGTTAAGGAGCATTTACACAGAGGCTACCAGGACCACTCATCTAGGGAGCTGAAGCATCACTGTCAAATCTAAACCAGCACCTGGTCAGGGAGGTGAAGGCCACGATGGAACTGAGGCCTCACATCAGGCCTGGCCAGAACCTTTGCTGCTTCAGAAACAGAGGGAGAACTCCTGGAATCTACTTCCAGGATGGGGCATAGGAGGTATGGGGAGCAAGATTTGGGAACCATAAACAGGGCTTTAATTCTTGTACACCTGCCACTTGGTTGTCTGCCACACAGGGTCCTCTGACTCAACACAGCATGGAAACACACATAACACTCAAGCTGCATTTTTTTTTTTTTGGTCGATCATAGGGCTTGAACTCTGGGTCTGGGCGCTGTCCCTCAGCTCTTCAGCTCAAGATGAGCACTCTACCGCTTGAGCTACAGCGCCACTTCCGGCTTTCTAGTGGTTTATTAGAGATAAGAGTCTCACACACTTTCCTGCCCAGACTGGCTTTGAACCACGATCCTTAGATCTCAGCCTCCTGAGTCACTAGGATTGCAGGTGTGAGCCACTGGTGCCCGGCTCAAACTGCATTTTTAAGTGCTTACTGAGTGCTTGCCAGATACCAGGAACATCCTGGGGTAGCAACCAGAGATTCCTTGGAGACAGACACTGGTGCAGCAAGGTGATGAATCCCAGCAGGCACTGCCATGGAAGGGCTGAGGGACTCCCACATGGGACCTGTCCTCACATTCAGCAGATGAGTGAGTCCAAGCTCACATGGGCACTTGACAAGATATGAAACAAGTAAGGGGCAGGGCCCACGCAGCGGTCAGGCTGAAAGCCACACTATTGGCTGGAGGTACAGCCAATGTACACTGAGCATTTAGCAACCCCGAGGCCCTAGGGTACAGATCCACACACACACACACACACACACACACACACACACACACACACACCATTCACATTTAGCAACCCCGAAGCCCTAGGATACACACACACACACCATTCACATTTAGCAACCCCGAAGCCCTAGGATACACACACACACACACACACACACACACACACACACACACACACACACACACACACACACACCATTCACATTTAGCAACCCCGAGGCCCTAGGAGACACACACACACACACACACACACACACACACCATTCACCTGCTACTGGCTTGAGAAGAAACCAAGAAACTCTCCTAGTGCTGAGTCAGAAGTCCAGAGCAGGGGCTGGGAAGGTGGCTCAGTGGTAGAGCGCTTGCCTTGCATGCCTGAGGCCCTGGGTTCGATTCCTCAGCACCACATAAGCAAAAAAGAATAAAGCCGGAAGTGGCGCTGTGGTTCAAGTGGTGGAGCGCTAGCCTTGAGCTGAAGAGCTGAGGGACAGCGCCCAGGCCCAGGGTTCAGGCCCCACGACCGGACCCCCCCAAAAAAAAAAAAAAATTCCAGAGCAGGTGTCTAGGGGAAGTCCTCAGGACCAGACATACCAGATGGAAGAAAGCCCATAACATCCTAACCCTAGAACCATAGCAAAGCACAGGCTTCAAGCCCTTGGCGGTAAGGACATTTATTAACTCTACCTGGCCTCTACTGCATTATGGAGTAATAACAAGACTTAGTAGCAGAGAGAACTGAGAAGAACTGAGCAAAGAAAAGCACAATCAAAATGAAAAGAGGAAGACAGACACTGGTGGGTCATGTCTGTAATCCTAGCTACTCAGGAGGCTAGATCTGAGGATCATAGTTCTGGGCAGGAAAGTCTATGAGACTCTTATCTCCAATTAAAAAGCTAGAAATGGAGCTGTGGCTCAAGTGCTACCCTTGAGAAAGGAAAATGCTTAGGGCCAACGCATTCAGTCCTAGGACTGGCACAGAAAAGAGAAAAAAAATCAGGTAACAGAAAAAGGTACATGCTTCAACTCTATAAATCTGGAAAAGATTGCAAGAAATAGCAACTATTGGCTAGGGCTGAGGAGAGCTGGGGGAGAGGTACAGCAAAAGGGATTTTAGTCAGGCTCTTATTCCACAGGATAATGTAGTGGTTGATACATGTGTCTAGATCTACAATAGACACAACAACACAGTGAAGGCCGTGGACTTGGGGTGAGGATGTGCTGATCAGTCCATTAACCGTGGACGAACACACCAACCAGGTGTAGAGGTGCTCCCTTACAATCCCAGCACTCTCAAGCTTGAGACAGGAGGACTGCAAGTTTGAGCACAACCTGAGCTAGTGAGACCTTCACCTAAAAAAAAATCACACTGATACAAAGCTTGGCAAATAGGGAATCAACGATGGGATATTGTGTATATTTTCCACATAATCTTTTGTAAGCCTAAAACTACTCAAAAAGTAGTCTATTAAAATTATACTGACAATCCCGGTGCTGAAGTATGTGCCTGTAGTTTCAGCACTAGAGAGATGGAGGCTATAGGATCACTTGAGCCCACGAGTTCAAAGACAATCTGGCAAAGACTTTTTTTTTTTGGGGGGGGGTCAGTTGTGGGACTTTTTTAGGGGGGGTGGGAAGTCAGTTGTGGGACATTTTTAGGGGGATGGGGATCAGTTATGGGGTTTTTAGGGGGAGGTCAGTTGTGGGACTTTTTTGGGGTGGGGGTCAGTTGTGAGGCTTTTTTTAGGGTGGGGGACAGTTGTGGGACTCTTTTGGGGGGGCAGAGGGGTCAGTTGTGGGACTTTTTTTAGGGTGAGGAGGTCAGTTGTGGGGCTTGAACACTGGGCCTGGGCCCTGTCTAAACTTTTGTGTTCAAGGTGAGCACTCTACCACTTGAGCCACAGCTCTACTTCTGGTTTTCTGGTGGCTAAATGGAGACAAAAGTCTCACAGCCTTTCCTGCCTAGGCTGGCTTTGAACCGTGATCCTCAGATCTCAGCCTCCTGAGTAGCTAGGAATACAGGAGTGAGCCACCGGCACCTAGCTAAGAGAGGCTTAAAAAAATACAATAAAGGGCATTCACACACAGTGAAGATCAAAGGAAGATACTCTTAGGAGAGGAACATAAAGGTACAATGCCTATGTGCCTTTGTGCATACAAATAGTATTTATCTAAATGAACTCCAGGAACTCAATGGAGGGGGGGGTATTTTATTTTTGTTATTTGTTCGTTTGTCTTTGGGAGGGTAAAAGGAGGCACAGAAATGGAGGAACAAAGGGTAAACAAATGCAGACATTATGCTGAAAATGAACTACACAAATTGTGGGTGGTTATGGGAGGGGAAAACTAGGAGAGTGTAAGGGAAGGGGTCATATTGTCTAAAAACTGACATAAGTAACCTCTCTGTATATCACTTTTTTTCTTTTCTTTTTCCAGTCCCAGGGTTTGAACGCTGGGCCTGGGCTCTGTCCCTGAGCCTGTCTGAGCACAAAGCTAGTGCTCTACCACTTGAGACACAGCACCACTTTCAGCTTTTTTAGATTATTGGAGATAAGAGTCTCATGGACTTTGCTGCCCAGACTGGCTTAAAACTATGATCCTTAGATCTCAGCCTCCTGAGTAGCTACGATTACAAGTGTGAGCCACCAGCACCCGGCTATACATCACTTGTATAACAATAAAAAAATTAATATAATGAGGGCCAAAATATGGGCAGTTTGTGAACAGAAGCCTCAGGGGGAGAAACAGTTGACACATACATGAAAAGAACTTGACCACAGCCATGCTGGCGCCCACCTGTAACCCTAGTACCAAGGAGGCCAAGCCAAGAGCATCACAGACCCTAGGCTAACCTGGACTTCACAGTCAGACTGCCTCAGAAAACTGAAAACAGGGCTGGGAAGGTGGCTCAGTGGTAGAGCGCTTGCCTTGCATCCTCGAGGCCCTGGGTTCGATTCCTCAGCACCACATAAGCAAAAAGAAAAAAGCCGGAAGTGGTGCTGTGGCTCAAGTGGTAGAGCGCTAGCCTTGAGCTGAAGAGCTGAGGTACAGCGCCCAGGCCCAGAGTTCAGGCCCCACTACCGATAATAAAAAAAAAAAAAAAAAAAAAAAAAGCCGGGCACTGGTGGCTCACGCCTGTAATCCTAGCTACTTAGGAGGCTGAGATCTGAGGATCGCGGTTCAAAGCCAGCCCGGGCAGGAGAGACCGTGAGACTCCTATCTCCAATAAACCACCAGAAAACCGGAAGTGGCGCTGTAGCTCAAGTGGTAGAGTGCTCGCCTTGAGCTGAAGAGCTGAGGGACAGCGCCCAAGCCCAGAGTTCAAGCCCCACGACCGACAAAAAAAATAAAAAAATTAAAAATAAAAAAAAATTTAAAAAAAGAAAACTGAAAACAGCAACAAAAATATCTGGGTGTGGGACTAGGGGTGTAGCTCAAGTGGTAGGGCACTTGTCTAGCAAGCACAAGGCCCTGGGTTCAACCCCCAGTGCCGCCAAATGGAAAAATATCTGGGTGTGGTGGCACACATCTGAAATCTCAGCACTTGTACTCAGAAGAGACAAAAGGATCACCAGTTTGAGTTAGGTCTACTCTATAGGGCAAAATCTTGTCTCAGAAACAGCTATGAGGCTGGGCACCGGTGGCTGATGCCTGTAATCCTAGCTACTCAGGAGGCTGAGATCTGAGGATCCCAGTTCAAAGCTAGTCCAGGCAGGAAAGTCTGTGAGACTCTTATCTCCAATAAACACTCAGAAAACCAGAAGTGGTGCTGTGGCTCAAGTGGTAGAGCACTTGCCTTGAGCTGAAGAGCTGAGGGACAGAGCCCAAGCCCAGAGTTCAAGCCCCACAACCAAAAAAAAAAAAAAAAAGCTATGAAAAAAAATTCAGGCTGGGAAGGTGGCTCAGTGGTCGATTGCTTGACTCACATGCATGAAGCCCTGGGTTCCATTTCTCAGCACCACATACACACTAAAAAGCTGGAAGTGGTATTGTGGCTCAAGTGGTAGAGTGCTAGCCTTGAGCTGAAGAGTTGAGGGACAGCTCCTCGGCCCAGAGGTCAGGCCCCACAAAAGGAAAAGAGAGACAGACAGACAGA